CATGCATGCAGCGTGTAGCTATGTGCTGGGCACAAGGACATCAGTGGTAGCTGCAAGCAACAGCAAGATTGACTGCGCCTTGCTGAGCACTAGCAAAAAGATAGGGAGAAGCGGCAAGAACAACAACGATGCCAACATAGAAGTGTTGTACGATGCTGCAAAAATCTTCCTTGGCAGGGCATATGTCTAGATGTTTGTTGGTTCGGAATAAGCTTGGCTACCTGGCTACCTAACTCATAAACCCCAGTGCCTGTGCACCTTCGGGTTTCGCCAGCATCACCGAACTGTCAACCCAGCTTCTTGAGATGTCTATTCCAAACAGACCACATCCTCATCCCCAAACCGAACCCTTTTCAGTAGGCATCCCTACGGCCTGCGGTCCCTAAGAACACATTCCTCTGTTCTCCACCATCCCTGACTCAATCTTCATATAGTGTTTCAATGCTCTCTCTCTCTGTCAAAAAATCTAGACATGTCACCCTGTCAACCCTACGAACAAAAACCCTTTTTCAGGCCTGATTGGCGCTCGCCCGGCACCGTTCCCCGCAGCCGCCTAAACTCTGAACCTTAAACCTTATTAAACACCCCCTGAAGCCCAAAACTTTTGTTGGGGCCCTGGCAGCCCTGCCAGGAGGTGCCCCAGGTGCGTCCCCAGTCCCAGCCCTGCCGAGGCTGTTAGGAGTCCGAGTGGGATGGTGTTTCTGCGTCGCTCAAAGATTCTAATAAGTAGATGTCTATGCAGGTAGGTGGGTAGGTAGGTATAGCTAGCTATGTGGTAGGTAGATACTGTAGATAAGTACGTAGGCAAGCGTGTCCACGAATGCACGTGCACATGCATGTGTGCATGTACTGGTGCATCTGCCCCGCATTAGCTTCTTTCCAAAACCGTGAAATCACAACCCACAGCCATCAGCTTGCATTGCGTTCATTGAGTCTGTAGGCTTCTTCGGGCTTTCTGTTTTGGGATTTGGATCAATTTGGAGATGAAAAACGGATAGCTGCATCCAGTCGCGCGTCACTTCACATTTTCTTGGAAAATTTGGGCAGTCACGACTTCGCTGGCAGTATGACGACCTGCTGGATTCAGCAGAACCACCTGACACTGCTCCTCCATGTCTTGGTCGAGAAGGTTCGCAAATGCTTTCCTATTCATACTTGAAACACCTGTAAAGCTTGTGAAATCCAAATTACATATATATATATATAGTATATATTAATACAAATTATATATCATATATCATCCACAATATAGAACGCAATGGTACAGATTACAGACTTTGGCCTTTGGGGGAGTTTACATGGGATTCCAGGGGTAAATTTACGGGCCCGGTCTCGAGGTCTACGTAGGGGCGAAACAGATCACACTCTCAAACATCGCCGGGCCGTTTCATGCGCATTCAAAAAGTATGTCTGCGCAGCCTTTAGACCTTACACGGGATGAAGGCTTGAGCCGGGTGGAGGCTTCTGGCTTATGGATGTTTACCGTCTTCATATACTGTTACAATATACATGTTTACAAGACTCGAAACACGAATTTTCTAGCACGTGGCGTGCTAGGATCCAGCAATGACGCCCGCGCTGCGCAAGGTGCTCAGCTCATCGTCACTTAGCCGAAGCTTCTCACGGAGCACCTGCCAGGATGTTCAACTAATCTATAGGGGCGTGACTAATTCAAATATGGTCCTGCGGTATACTGTGGTATATGTTTTGAAGAGGCCTGTACAGGGAATTTTTTGTTGATGAGTCCGACATCGAAATGTACGGTCATGGTTTCGGGCTTGGGCTTTGGATTTACAGCTCGGCGAGCTTTCCATCGGAGGTGAGGTCGGTCAACTACCACGTCTAGTCCTTTGACGGACGAGAGGTGCAGATTACATATATATATATATAT